ATACCATTTATAATAGTAAAACGATAAATAGTTACCGTTACCATTTTATTAGTAAGGGAAACTTACTTTAGTTAGTACCAACTACTAACACAGAAAATTAAAAGGTATTAAAATAAGCTGTAACCCTTATTATTTTAATCTAATTTTGCTGATTTTAATACCAAAATGGATTAAAATTAGCATAATTGTATTAAAATAAGAAGCGTTGCAGCTTATTTTAATGCCTTTTAATTTTCTGTGAATAAATATTGTAACAGATAACATTTAGTTAGTTAACCTTACTAATCAAATAGGTAATTCAATGTAATAAAATACAGCCGTAAATATTTATTTAATATTATTCACATTCAAAAAAATATGTTTATTATAAGGTTAATATAACTTTCTTGCTGTGTCAAGTAAGATATATAAACATATTTTTTTGTATTTTGCGAATAATAATAAATAAATTTTATAGGTTAGGTTTCTTGGTTAAATTGTCATTTAAATTCAAAACTATTTACATAATCTTCGAATTCCCCTGATATTATTAACTCCCGTAAATCCACGCACTTTTTTAACACTCAATTAAATAATTTATATAAAAATAATATAATTGTAGAAAATATAGAAAAAGATAAACACAAATGATCACATTTTCTCACGACATTGCTTTATGAGCATGATTGTTGCCAACCGAATTTCTAACAACTGCCAACCGCGTTTGCTAAAAAAAAATGGTAAACCCAACTATATACTCTGTTAGTTAAACTTTTACATGGAACTATTTTTGTAGGTGTGATTATTTATTTCCTGTTTACCAATTCGAAATATTTGCGTTTGATATTGAAAATTTTTAAATTCACTAAAAACATTACTGAGTTTTACTAACTAAATGGGCAGGGGAATAAATACTTCCTTTACTAATAAAAAAAGTAGTAGCCCCAACCATTCATTTCTCTCAGTGTAAGAATTTTTACTAATTTTTAGTGAAATATAATCTATTATATTTAGTAGTTTTAAATATTTTTACTAAAATTTTAGTTAAAAGTGACTAAAAATTAGTGAACATTCTTATACTAATTCAAATTAGTAGTTCACTTTTCTCATTAATTCAGATTTAGAGAGATAATTGTAATAATTGAAAAATGTATATGAAAATTTCAAGTCTATAAAGAATGATATTGCAAAAGGTGCGCACAACTCTTAAGGATCAATGATCTTTTTACGCGACCTTTCTCTCTTACTCTTTTCTTGATTGTTAAGTCACGAGTCTGGAGGACAGGGTCAGGATCTAAGAACTCACGATCGTGAGATTAGCAATAAAGAAATTGTCTATACCATGTAACATATATATATATATATATATATATATACGTTAATGGATTTTTCCTAAAGAATTTTCACTAAACAAATTCGCAATACGCGTGTAAAATTAAAGCACCATATCAAATATATATATAATATAACTTTGACCTTTAAAAAGATCAGTTGGTCATTTCTTTCATTAAGTTTTGTTTAGCTATTACTTATCAGTGTACACTAGGTCATAAGTGCAAGTCAACTGTTTCTTATCGATTTATATCTTTCACTTGTAAAAGTTCTTTAACTTTTTATTGAGAAGAGTTTTGTAGGTCAAACATGTTCAATAAAACCACGTGCGTAATCAATATTGAGAGTAATTAAAAAAAAAAGAAGAAATTAAAAAAAAATTGTATCTTTAAATTGAAAAATAATTCGCAAACAATTTTTTTTCATCGAGTATTCAAATTTACTTTTAAAAAATTTTTCAATCATTAGAAATATAACGAAAAAATCGAAAGATAATATAGTATTTAAAAATATATATTTTTTTTTCTTTTGAAATTTTCATGTTGGAAGAAAATAAAGATTTTACATGCAGCTGGTCTTATTTTTTCTTGATATTATAAAATTTATTGATGCAATAAAAGAAGAGTGCAAGGACATTTCAATGCGCAATAGAACGAGAATAATTATTATTATTATTATTATTATTATTATTATTATTATTATTATTATTATTATTATTATTATTAATATTTGAACCTCTCATATAGAGAAACATCTTGATCTTCGTTTTGTTTATAGTGTCGATTTTTTTTATAATTTTCATAGAAAAAAAAAAAATGTGAAATATAGATTTAGAAAATAACATTATTTTTTTTTTAGAAATGAAAAACCTCGACACAAAATATGATAAAAATAAACGAAAAATTATAGACAATATCTACGGGAATTTTGCAACCAAAGAGATGTTGTCTTTTACGTAACGTATACCCCAAAGAAATTTTCACGCTTCAATGAAAATCATTTAGTTACTTTTTTACTGCAAAATGTTAGTTTTAAATATTTTTCTTTTCATTTTTAATAAATTTCGATTTAAAATTATAATAAAGAAAATATTATTTAAAAGTTAAATAAGTAAATAAAGAAAAAAGTCTTTAAAATATTGAGAAATTTTTTGTCGAAAATAATAATTTGACGAAAAGAAATTTGTAATAGACATATATATATATATAGTCATTTGCATTTTACTTCCGTAATCTGGTGGAAGTGAGACTATATGGTTACAGATGTTATTCAATAGGTTAGGTCTTAATAAGGCCGGAGGCTTGTTACCCAATGAAGTTGAATAACTTTCACCGTTCAAATATACTAGAGCGGCGTCAAATCAACAACGGCCTTTAAATTAAAAAAATAATAGCCGCATCTACATTAACATCCTCATTCCATTTCTTATAATAAAAGTATGGTTGAATTTCAATTTATCAAAAAAAACCCGCTATCTTTGCAGTTTAATTTTTTTTTTTCGTACCATTTTTCCATTTACAAAGAAAACTTCCCTATATATTATTTCACAGCGTGAATCAAATAAAATCTTTGTTAAAAAAAACCGCTATTTTTTTTATTTTTTCATTATTTTATCATAACTGACATATATGATGTAATAAGATAATAATATAATAGTTACATAATTTTTTTATTATAATGGAAAATATGGTAGAGTCTAAACAAATGTCATATTTTCTGTATATATATAAATTGAAATAAATATTAAAAAATATGGAAAATTATATAATATTTGAATTAACATTTTTTTTTACATGTAAAAAAAAAAATAAAAGAAATAAAATAATAATTATAGGAAAAGTGAAAAAATTAATAATAAAATAAAATAGATATTAAAAGAAATTAATATGGAGAAATTTTCACGAATTTTTTATAAAAATATTTAAAAATTGAATTAATATAATTCTTTATCGATAATTCGTGTCAATTGCGCGCAGTGATATGGACAAATTATTATTATTCATTAAATAAATCAATCTCATGAAGAGAGAAAACAAAGAAAAATTTTTCATTGTCACCAATGATAAAAATACGTTTAATTTAATCGAATTTTTAATTAGTATATTTTTCTGATATTCAATGAATTTTAATGAATAAAAGATAATTATGAATAAAGAAGAAAAAGAAAGTAGAACAATTTTTTCACATTAAAAAAATATGTAAAAATTATTTTTTTTCTTTTTTAGTTTTTTTTTCTTTAAAAAAAAATATATATATAGAGAGAGACACGTGTTATACGTTTTAAATTGAATATAAAATTAAATCAAAATTAAATTCACGATGACTGATAAGAATCCTTTAAAAACCGAAGGTTTTCACGAATAAAAAACGACTTAATTGCAAACTTAACTGATTGAGGCTAATTGCTCAGTTTGCAGTAATATCAGAAAATTTCTTCTTTCTCGCGTAGAAATATTTTATGCATTTTATAAATACGAAGCAGTGTGTGAGACTGGTAAAACATCTTCTAGATTAACTGAATCAATTATCTTGCTATATGTATTTAATTATCCTATAATTGGATAATATAAACATTCAATAATTTAAGTACAGTTACACTGAAAAGAACAATTTTAGTGCGATTATAGTGAAACTGTTTTTGTTATATTGTAAAGATATATATTTTCCACTCGTTTAGTGTAAAAAAAAAAAAAAAAATTACACTTTAATGCTTCATAAAATTCATCATTCTGAAAGATATGAAGTTCTAATGAAGAATAAATCGTATATAAGATTTTTTTTTATTTATACATTATTAGACATTTATTATTTTACTATATATAGTGACACAATTATATACGTATATGATAATTAATTTAGCAAATCATAAACCAAAAATACTCAAGGTTACATTTATATATTTATGGTCAAAGTAATTCAATGTCCAAGGAAAATTGAATCAGCTATAGATTATTATTAATGACTTTTTTTTAAATATAGTTCACTTTAAAATTACGAATTTATTTTTAAATTCAATTGCACTTTGAAAAAAAAGAAAACAATTTCAATTACTTTAATTTTTGAGATTTTTATCAATATAATTTGAATGATTCCGACAATTCGATATTCATAAAACAAAAATTATAAATAATGAATATTTTTGAATAAAAATAAAAAATAACGAAAATTATTCAAATTCGTTAAAAAAAATTTACTAATTTAGAAAAAAAATAGAAATACACGAAAAGCTAGAATAAAAAATAAATATTGCAATATGATAATGTCTTTTTTTATATTAAAAAGGATTCTACAATTTAAAGTTAATAATATTTAATTGTGCATAACGATCAATTTTAAATGTTAATTAAACATAAAATTATTCGCGAATAAATACATTATATTCTATAATTATAATGAAAATGTAGAAACAAGTAGCTATCAATTTGTAAATAAAACTTTTGTTCTTTGCCGCATTTGTAGATTTTTAATTAATTAAAAACTCAACTTTTTTTTTTCTTTATTATAATGAACTTAATTGACCTGCAGAGATATAAAATTATCAATATTTCAATGACAAAAGTATATATATATATAGTATTTTTAGAAAAAAATAAAATTATAAAATAAATTTCTATATGGAAAAATTTAAATTGTAAATTTGCAAATTAAAAACAAAAAAAAAATATTTAATGTTTTTTTATCTGTTGCAGATGGGTTGCTCGAAGACATGTATGGATAACTTTTTAAATCGAACTTTCTATAAACTTGGTTACTTCGTTGGAGAACATCCAGGATATTTTATAATAGTCCCTATTCTCTTAGCCTGTATCTGTTTCACAGGATACCAAAGAATTGAATATGAAATTGATCCCGAATATCTTTTTACACCAATGAACGGTCCGGGAAAAATTGAACGTGCTGTAGTTGAACAATATTTTACTGTCAATTACACAGATCATTTTAATCTCGGCCGCATTACGCGAGCAGGTAAAATTATTTTTATTTTCTCATTTTATATAATAATTTTTCATATATATATATATATATAATAAAGTACTCTCTAAATATGAATTAGTAAAAATGTTTACTTAAATTGAATTAGTGACTTACTTTTTGCTTCTGAATTAGTAAAACCCACTTGGAAAGATTCTCCGGAAAATGCCCCCCTGGAGGTTCTATCAGAATTCCGTCGGAATTTCATCGGAGTTCCAAAGAATTTCCAATGGGATTCCGACGGAATTCCGATTAATTTTTTTTTTCAAAATTTTTAGAGTCCTAATTCCGTTGGAATTCCGTCAGAATTAATTCGGAACTCCGTCGGAATCCCATCGGAAATTCTTTGGAACTCCGATGGAATTCCGACGGAATTACGTTGGAAGTTTCGGCGGAATTCTGATAGAACCTCCAGGGGGCACTTTCCGGTGAATCTTTCCAAGTGTGAATTTTACTAATTATTAGTAACTTTTACAAACAATGAGTAAAATTTAACTAATTCTAAATTAAAAAGTGAATCACTAATTTAAATTAGTAAAGATTTTTACTAATTCAGATTGAGAGAGTAGAAAAAAAAATTATGATTAATTTCAAAAAATGTTTTCTTTGCTTTTAATATATTTTATATTATATATTTGAAGAGTCATTCCGTATTATATATTTTGACCAAAGTTATGTTTGCTGACTAATTTTAAAAAATCATGAAGATACGTCTTTTTGTAGGATATATTCTATATACTTCTAAAAAAAAATTTTTTTCTTGAAAATTTTCTTATTTCTTGTAAAATATGAATTTTAAGTAAGTATACAAAAATTCTTTAGAATAACTATTTCTATTTATTATTAATGGATTCGAATATTCAAAAATAAAAAATAATAATGTTTTCAAAGTTTATCTGATCAAATAATCTAGTTTTGCAATTTGTGTCAATTAATTATTATTTATTTTCAGTAATAAACGAGAATAAATAAAATTAAACTGTCCTTTTATATTTGTTCAATTTAACTTAAAATACAAAAAATTAACAAAAAAGAAAATAAGTCAAAAATAATTTAAAAAAAAAAAAAACTAAAATAATATTTGATGATATATTTAAATTTAAATTTATCATAAACAGGTGATAAAATTATTACTATGATTGAAACTATAGAAAGTAGACAAAATTAATTTTATCAATATTCATAAATATGATTTTCAATCTATTTTTCTTTAATTTTAGGACGATTTGGTCACGTGATAGTAACGCCAAAAGATGGCGATCCAAATTTATTGAGAACTGAAGTTTGGAATGAATTACGATTACTTGATCAAATTATACGAAATGCAACAATTATATTTGAAGATGAAAAATATACATACGATAAAGTTTGTGCTCGATGGCAAAATAAATGTGTCGAAAATGATATTTTAAATCTTCATCATATTATTCAGTAAGTATATTAAACTATATATATATATAATAAAAGAAGATTTTTTTTTTGAAAAATTAAAAAAAGTTTATATAATTTTTTTGTTTAATATAAATATATTAATAAATTAATTATAATTTTTCAAAAAGCTTAAGGAATAAATTACAATTTTTTCCAGTGATGTAGAGACCCATAAATTGAATTTAACATTTCCATTGATGATTAATCCAGTTACATGGGATACTCATCTCTTTCCAATTTATTTTGGAGGAAGTAATATTACTGAAGATTTGACAATTAATTCAGTACCTTCGGTGCAATTCGCTTATTTCCTCATTGCCGGCACTAAACGTCAGGATGCAATGTGAGTATTTTTTTTCAAAATTCACGAGAAAAAAGAGGGGAAAAAAAAAAATTATTGTGGAGAGAAATAATGACATAAATTAATGCACTGAAAAAAAATTTATTTGACGCAAATAATTGGTTATACTTGGCTATTGTCAAATAAATATTTATTTGAATCAAATAATTTTTATTTAAATTAAATAAATTTTATTTGAACCAATAATTTTTCTATTTAAAACAAATACCATCTCAAATAATAATTATTTAATACAAATGAATATTTATTTGATAATAATCAATTAACCGATTATTTGAATTAAATAATTTTTTTTCCGTTCAATATTTTTAGTTATATTTTTTCCGAAACTAGAAAAATATTTTTATTAATTTTTATTTAAATTTAAATAATTTAATATTTGCCAAATAAATTTTATTTGTGTTAAATTAAATTAAATTATTATTTGTCTGAAATAAATGCAAAATAAAATATTTCTTCGGATGTATTTTTAAATAAATAAATAAATTTTCATGGATCTATTTAGTGGTTCGATTTGGGAAGAGAAATTTCTGGAGGTTGTTGGCAAGGCAGAAAATGAAAATATTTTTAAGCACATTAACGTTGCGAGATTTGCTTCACGATCATTGGAATTGGAATTGGAAGCGAATACAAAAACAGTGGTGCCTTATTTCACTAGTGCCTTTCTATTTATGGCCATTTTTTCCATAATCACCTGCATGATGACTGATTGGGTTCGAAGCAAACCGTGGCTCGGTTTCCTGGGAAATCTTTCGGCTATTGCAGCAACGGCCGCTGCCTTTGGTTTCTGCATTTACTTGGGGGTGGATTTCATCGGTCTCAACTTAGCCGCACCCTTCTTAATGATAGGTGAGTGATAGATGTTTTTTTTTTTTTTTTTTTTTTATATAACTCCAACAAATTTATATACCTGCCACTATTTATATTTTATCCTCACACTAAAATCAAGGGTCCCGAGCTCAATTTTCGAAAATTAAGAGAAGAACCTGTCAATTTTTTTTTTTTTTTTTTTTCATCAACTTTTTCCATTTCTTCAATTCTCGAAGGAGGAAACGTTAATTTTCAAGAGTATTAAGAAAAAAAAACTATAATTTTCTCCAGTGATTTTCAGTATTTTTTTTAGAAGTTTTAGGAATTTAAAAAAATAATTTTATTGAAATCTCAATTTAAAAAAAAATTTCAAATTAAATTAAATTTGAAAAAATATCCATTTCACAGAACTTTTATTTAGTTGAATTTTCATTAACAGAATTTTTATTTATACCAACTTTAATTTGTTGGAGTTTTTATATTTAATAAATAGAATTTATATTAAGCCAAATTTTTAAATATTTCCATTTCAGCTATTAATTTTCATTTTATCGAACATTCATTTGCATGAATTTAATAGAATTTCTAAAATATTGAATTTTTGTGAATTCTAAGGAATACCAATTCGTGAAAATAAAAAAAATGGACAAATGGAATTTTTTTAAAAAAATGACAATTAAACTTAATAATTGTGAAAATGAAAATTCGATCATTTAAAAAATTCAACAATAAATACAAAAATTTGTTGCATAAATATTTAATTAAATTAAAGAATTCCATTAAATTAAAAATTCGATTAAACATTTAGTTATAAATAAAAATTTGACTTTTTATTTGATTCGAAAATAAACATAAATAAAAGATTTCTCTTGCTGTACGATTTTGTGGGAAACAAAAGAAGGATTAATTTTTGGGGTATTGTATATTAAACAATGTGGAATGCAAAGTTTCTAATTATTCCACAGTCACAGCATGATACAATGAAAGTGGCTAAACTGTCTATCTTAGATAGTCAATCGATTTTACGGGCTTTCTCTACATGTCCTCCGATATAACAAGTTGTGTGCTAGAATTGATCTTTGACTCAAAAGAAAATTTTCTTTTATATATGTAGTACATAAGAATATAGAAATGTAATGTTTATTCATTTAATGATGTTTTTATATACTTTACTAATTTACTTCAATCGCTTTAATAATTTAATTTATTCACATACATTTCAAAAGAAAAGAATTTTCAAAAATCCTTTTTTCAATTTAATCCATTTATTATAATAATTATAGTTTAATTAACTGGATATAAATGAGTAATAAATATTTACAAATATCAATTTAAAATTGAACTTAAAATTTTTTTTTTTAAATTAGCTAATATAGAAAAAATAATTATCAATATAAATAATAATTACTTTTTTCTGGAATCAAAAGTTTCTATATAATAAATATTTTCATTTCTCTTTATTTTTGCTTTGTCTTTAAAATGAGACAAAATCTTTTTTGTTGGACAATTTTCTCATTATATATTGTTGATGAAATTATTTCAAGACAATCTTGCGAAGGAGTTTTGGAGGACCAACGTTTTTTTACATAATGTTTACTCTTCCCCGCTTTGTTCGTCGCAAAAAGGCGTATATATATATATATAGAAAGTAAATTTAATATAAGAAGTTATATAATTGAAAAATACCTATGCAAATGAAGTTAACACATCAAACGATCAAACAAATCGAAAATATTTGACATATGACATGAATTTTCTTAGAAAAAAAAAACCACTTTACAGTAAAATTTTTCGAAAATATAAATCATGACATTTTTCAAAAGAAACAAAAATTTACTTTTTTGTTAATATTTGATATCGGACGCATAATTATGTTCTAAAAATCATTAGTTAGAATTATCATATTATGGAATTTCATTTGTCATATATAATTATTTTTGAGCAAAATTTTTATTTGTTCGAATTAGTATTTTGTAGAATTTTCATTATTTTCTTCGAATTATTATTTGATACAATTTCCATATAATCGATTTTTCATACTACAGAATTATTAGAATTTATAAATAAATTTCATAAATACAGAATTATTGCTAATTAAAATTAGTGTTTATTAAATATTTTAGTTGTGATGATGACTTAAACAACAAATGATTTATATTGACAGTTGATCCTTTTTTTGTATTTTAATTTCAAAAATTGCAAACATAACCTATAATTTGTTACTTCTAAGGTCCCTTTCTTTAGATCGCGTCATAATTAATAGAATTTTCATTTGTCCGAAATTGCAAATGTTCGAACAAACAATTGACAGAAAGATTTCGGCGCGATTTTTAAATTCAACCAATCAAAAATTATTCATAAAATTGTGATTGGTTGAATTTAAAAATCGCGCCGAATATTTTTGTCCATTATTTGTTTGGCCATTTGCAATTTTGGACAAATGGAAATTCTATGAATTAGAAATTGTGTTAAATGATTTTTCGATTAAGTAAAAATCGGTTTTATGGAAATTATATCAAATAATAATTCGAACAAAATAATGAAAATTCATCTGAAAGAATAAAATGAAAATTCTATGCAATGAAATTCTACCCAATAAAAATTCTTTAAAATGCCTATTATTGTTAAATGAAAATTCGAGCAAATAAAAAAATTCTGACAAATAAAAATTGGAAGAAATAAAACTTCTATGAAGTGAATTTTCGGTTATATAAAAATTTTGTAATGTAAAAAATGGTTTTGATGAAAATTCTGAAAAATTCAAATTCGACAAATTGAAATTCCATAAAATGAAAATTCTAACTAATGATTTTTAGAACATAACCGTGCGTCCCTTTGATATGCACTTTATGATAAAATTATTGTTTTTAGAGTTTTAGTTCCTAGAATGTTTATTTTTATTTTTCTTTTGTCCTTCTGTTTGACTTGTAAAGAATTTTATTATTGTGAGTGAATTTCCTTGAGGGGAAAAATGGCAAAAGTTCATCAAGGATAAGACCTCAATGAGTGTGATCTTAAATAGATTGGAAGGAAAGTTATCGCAAGTATCAAGTGCGAAGAATATCAGGCGCTTTACGACGTCTCATGGCTTTTGTTTCTTGAATGGCGATGAGTCCAATACGGGTTAAACGTATTCGTGACGATGAATTGATATGCTTTAGGAATAATAAAAGGTGCGATGTTGTTTTATAATGGTCTGAACAAATGGTACTTTTGCTAACATGGATCAAGGTCATTTCTGGTCGTGCAATGCTTCAAAAAATAGATCACAGTAAAAAAAAAGAAAAAAATTACATAATCGATAATATTTAACAATGACCCAGATTAATGAAATTAAATTTATTCACACTATTTTTATATAAATTAAATAAATTTCTATTTCATCAAAAATAAAAAATTATTTAAATTAATATTAATTTGAAAGAAATTCTCGAAATATATATATATATACTAAATTTTGTTTTGCAAAATACTTTTATTATGAAACTTTCTTGTTTAAAGTGGAAACATGATCTCTTGGGTTAAATAGAGGAACACGTGTATACGTTTTGAAAAAAAGGTGCCAATTTTATTCAAGATGCTTTCTAATTTATGCGTTTTCTAAGTTTCGACTTCTGGTTTTTTCTTTCTCTCTCTATATATATAGTAAATATTTAAAAAACTGTAACATAAAATAGTAAAACGAGATGAACGCATTTATTTTGAAAGGGATGTTGAAATGAATATTTCTTCATAAATACGCATATTTTTAAAAATTAATTATTTCCTGATTTTTCATTCACAACAAAAAAATTTTTTGTCATTAAAAAAAAAAAACATCTTTTCTTTGACTATATACAATTTATTAAATATATAATAATGAATCATTTTTCTAATTTTGATCGCATTTCACTTTTCAAATAGTACAAATGAATGAGAAAAAAAAAACGAAATGGAAATTTCTATTTAAATCTATGCGCACCATTTCATGTAATTTTTTTTCGATTAAAAGAGAAATGTTTTGTCTTCCTCTTTTAACAGGTATAATTATCATGGTAGCACTTTTGTTCATTGGGTGGGCATAAACGCGTGCCAATTAGGAGTTTAATGAAAACCTATAATTCGAATATGTATACATATATATATATATTTTTTAAATTACATGCTTAAACGAGAAAATGTTTTAAAACACTTTCCAAAAAAAAAAAAATTGCATGAAATTTTCGTCTCTTCTTTTTTTTTTTACTGTTAATTATGATATAATCGAATGTTATATTATTTTTAGAAAAATAAATTAATAATATTGAGTTGATAAGGAAAATATTTTGAAACTGCCTCAAAGGAAGTTACAAAATTACTAGAGTTATCATTATAGAATTATGTGTATAATTTTGTTTGCTTTTTATTTGTTTCATTAATTTAATTTATCATTAGGTCAGAATTTCTCTACCGGATCACGTAAAATTTTCAAAAATTAATTATTGTTTATAACAATAATTATTGTTATAAACAATGGAAATTTTTGACTATCTTAAATAAAAAAAAATCGTCTCGAGATAATTTTAGGTGATTCGTTTGAGAAATTCTTTCCCTTTATTATTTGTTAAATTGTAAATAAATTAAATTCTAATATAAATTAATAATATGAAAGTTGGATTAATAATTACTATAAAATGAGATAATAAAAAAAATCATGCGAATTATAATGTTGCAATAATATATATATATATATATATATATATGTATACGAGATTTGTAACCAACACCAACGGTCATGTGTGAACGAACGCCTTGTCATTTATAATGAACACTCATCATGCCAATGTCGTTACCAATATTGCAACTAGTCGCTACTGCACGAGTTGATATAAACAAAATAATTGTTATCATTATCATATATACGCGGTACTCTAAATATGGAAGAAATTCTGTGCCTTCAAAATATATTGCATCATATATCAATCTTCTCTCACAAAAAAAATTTGCTATTAATAAAAAAAAAAAAATATAAGACGTTACATATATTATTATACGCAGTTGCGATGAATTGAACAAACGTTTCTTTTATATATTTCAATGGGGCTATTAATAAAAAGTATTGAATTCAAATTATATAATATGCCCATAGGATATACCAATTATTTTCAATCATTTGTGAATATTATGAAATTTATAATTTTTTCTAAATATATGTCAAATTCTAAAAATTTCTCTTCCATTCATCGTCAAATATATATATATATATTATTCTTCAAATGATTTGACACTATTTATTAAACGTATAAAATTATGGGACTCATGATTATGTTTTAAAAATCATTAGTTATGAATTTTTATTTTATGGAATTTCAATTTGTCATAATTATATTTAAGTCGAATTTTTATTTGTTCAAATTAGTATTTTGTAGAAATTTAATCAAAAAAATTTTTTACATTACAAAATTTTTATATAACTGAAAATTCACTTCATAGAATATTTATTTGTTCCAATTTTTATTTGTTAGAATTTTTTTTATTTGCTCGAATTTTCATTTAACAATAATAGGCATTTTAAAGAATTTTTATTTGCTACAATTTCATTGCATAGAATTTTCATTTTATTCTTTCAGATGAATTTTCATATTTGTTCGAATTATTATTTCATATAATTTCTATATAACCGATTTTTACTTAACCGAAAAATCATTTAACACAATTTCTAATTCATAGAATTTTCATTTGTCCAAAATTGCAAATGGCCAAACAAATAATGGACAAAAATATTCGGCGCGATTTTTAAATTCAACCAATCACAATTTTATGAATAATTTTTGATTGGTTGAATTTAAAAATCGCGCCGAAATCTTTCTGTCAATTGTTTGTTCGGACATTTCCAATTTCGAACAAATGAAAATTCTATTAATTATGACGCGATCTAAAGAAAGGGACCTTAGAAGTAACAAATTATAGGTTATGTTTGCAATTTTTGAAATTAAAATACAAAAAAAGGATCAACTGTCAATATAAATCATTTGTTGTTTAAGTCGTCATCACAACTAAAATATTTAATAAACACTAATTTTAATTAGCAATAATTCTATATTTATGAAATTTATTTATAAATAATAATAATAATTTCTGGATAATTTTTGATTGGTTCAATTTAAAAATCGCGCCAAAATCTTTCTGTCGATTATTTGTTCGGACATTTGCAAATTTGGACAAATGAAAATTCTATCAATTAGAAATTATATTAAATGATTTTTCGATTATATGTATAAATTCTATAGTATGGAAAATCGGTTATATGAAAATTCTTTCAAATAATAATTCGAAGGAATGAAAATTCTAGCAAATAAAAATTCTAACAAATGAAAATTCTGTAAAGTGAATTTTCATTTATATAAAAATTCTGTATATGAGAGATTCTTTTTCAATCGCCCTAGCCCAAAAAGTCAATGTTCTGGGATTGGTTTCATATTTTGGTAAATTGTTGTCCTACATGATAGTAATAAATCCCTAAAATATAAACTCATTAAAAAAATATTTGTAGAAAGTAGAGGGGGTTGAAGTTTTGACATTAAGGGTAACATTGTCATTTTCAAATCCGTATAACTATGACAAAAGTTGATGGATTTTAATTTATTTATAATGAATTTTCATGCATTTTTCACGTACTTTTCAAAAATGTATACGAAATTAAAAAAAAAAAAAATTTCACCCTTTTTTTCCAAAATCAACCCTTATTTTTCGATTTTCACCCCTTCGGGAAATTTTTTTTTTTTTTATTTTCATTGGAAAGCTGAAGTTTTTTCCCATGAGCTATGTAAATATGAAAGTGGGACAACAATAATTTTGTGAGAAACAGAATATTAAAGTATACGCGGTGCCGATAACGGGTATACCTGGAGATCATCTTCGAGGATTTAGGTAGGCACCGCCTAATTTAATATTATGTTTTTCACAAAATTATTGTTGTCCCATTTTCATATTTACATAGCTCATGGGAAAAAACCTCAGCTTTCCAATGAAAATAAAATTAAAAAAAAAAATTCCCTCAATTATTTTAACAATGTAAAAAAGTCAATCCATTTACTCTAAATTCCACTTTACCATTTTCTTTCGCAATGTCTTTATGGTTTATGTGCCGAAATAATAAAATTTTTACCATTTGATTGGTCAATTTTGAGTGAAAATTTTTTAATGCACGTATTTCATTGAGCACAAATAGAATAATAAATCATATTGGCTCATTTTCCTATCGTTCAACATATTACTTAATTCTTTTTGTACTGAGAGCTTGATCCCCAGTTGTGCATTGCAGGAAGTCGTTTGATCTGATCTGACGTACTTTATGTATAGTGGAGCTGTGTAGTTTGTTAGTTCGCTTTATCTTTATAAGCATTCAAGTATAGGAAAACGAAAGCTTCCTTACAATGCTTTATGAATTTAATTTCTATCTTTAAACTTTCATTTGACTTCGATATATCATAAACGCCCATATAGCAATATAGAACTACGAGATTATTATATATATATATATTAAATTTTTTATTAGCACATTAAACTTCCCTCATTTATAATATATATAATTCCCAATTTTTTTTTTATTTTAAAAGATTTTTCCTACTATGGAAATTACCAACAAAAAAAAAAAGATAGTGAATAATAAAATTATTCTTAATTAATTAGAAATAAATTTTTTAAGAATAATAATTAATACAAAAAAAAAAAATTACATAAAAATAGAACACCGCGTTAAAAATGAATAATAAAAATTATTATTGAAAAATATTAATGTATTCTTTTCATATTTCACAAAATATGGGTCATGAGTTTTTCATCTAATAGAAAATTATTATTCATATGTAAAATATATCGTTAAAAATTATAACTCATATGAAAATTGAGAATTCACAATTTCTTTTGTGTCTACATATAAAAAGTAATTGTAAAAAAAAAAAATATATATACATTATTCATTTGAGTCTGACTAATGCATCAATTTATAATTGTATTATTATTATAAATTTTATTAAAACAAAAAAATTATGTTTAAACCACAATTTTTATTGCTTTAAAGTCAAGTAACACTAAAATTGGTATAATAAGGTATGATTTATTAATTTTCCCTTTTGTTATAAGTGATGATTCATTGTGTGTTAGTTTTGTGGTTTATTAAGCCACAGATATAAAAGATGTGATGATAAACTGACTAATCCGTGTAATTTAAAGATTATTTCATTGCCTTGTGTATTACAATTCAGAAAATTTGTTAAGAATGCATGCTTTAAAATACATATATTTATGTATATATATATATATATTTATGAGTAGTTTGTTAAATTCAACAAAGAAATTTATTATTGATGCATAAACGAAAAAGTATTCTCAAAAAATAATTTACATTTTTTTATAACATAATAAATTGGTTAAAAATAAAAAAAAAATTATTTATGATTATAAATAATAATAATTTAATTATTATTTATAATTTATATATGTATTTAAAATTAGCTATAATCGTCGAAATATCGCGAATATTATATGTTAATCACTGAATACAAAAAAAAGTTTTTTGTAAAAAAAAAAAATTACTTGAATAATGAAAAATTAATTTTTTTTTAAATTTGTTTTAGGAATCGGTATCGATGATACATTTGTGATGTTGGCAGCTTGGAGGCGAACAGATTTCACAAGTCCAGTTCCATTGAGAATGGCTGAGACTTTGAGTGAAGCTGCAGTTTCAATCACCATTACATCTTTAACTGATATGGTTTCCTTTTTTATAGGAATATTTACACAATTCCCTTCAATTCAAATATTCTGCATTTATTCAGGTAAACTATTTATTTTCCACGCATGCATTTTTCATAATTAAAATATTAATTTTACTTAAAATTTTTAATATATTATACAGTTATTAAAATTATATTTTCCGAAAAAGAAAATATTCCAAAAAAAATATAGATAAATAAAATAATGCAATTTTTTTTTATTATTTTAATTTTTCTCCAATATTAATCTATAAAAGAGAAATTAAAAAAAATTAAACAATAAAAAAATTCGTTAATTTAATTTTTTTTATAACATGAATACAATGAATATTAGATAAAAAAAAAGTTGTCTTTTTGTAAATGATTTATATATTTATTTAGATGTAGAATGCGTTATTTATTTTTATCAACCTGATTAATTATAAAGTAACGTATACAATTTTAATCATTCGCGACACCATTAACATTAATTAATTTGTTAAACATTAATTTTATAGGCTTTGCGGTGGTGTTTACATTCCTGTTTCATTTGACCTTTTTCACCGGATGCCTCGCGATAAGTGGTTACTGCGAGCAAAAAAATCTTCACAGTGTCTTCTGTTTTAAAGTTCAACCTCTTTCAAAATCAGGTTAGTATAAATTACAATTTATTATTAATTATTTCATTGCACATTAACCTTTTTTTTTTTTTTTTTTTTGTTTCGATTAATTACTTTTTTCGAATTATTATACATATATATATGCAAAAACCTCGAAGAAAAAATATAACAAAAATATTTCATCAAATTTTTTTTGCAACCAAACCTGATTTGGTTGGTTACACAAAATTTGAATTGTTAAATATTTATTATATTAACATAAATATTAATATTAATATTTATGTAAAAATATTTTAAGTAAATTGCATGTCTAATAAATAATAATTTTTTTTCAAATTTGTTCTAAAAATTGTAAATATAATATTTTCAACTTTATAAGTTCTCAGAAAGATTAAAAGTTTAAATTGGTTTTTTAAACACACATTTTTTTGTGAATGTTCGTTTGGCATTTATAAAAAAAAAGTAGTTTTTGGAATGTCTTGAAAGGAGGTACAATTTTTTTTTTACCTAATATAATAATGACCAAAGTAGAAAAAAAAATTCTTTATATAGCTGAAACCTAATTAAATCTAGTAACTATAGTCATAATCTATTTTTATAGATTATATACGGTTACGAAAACCAGAAGTTATTTACATAAAAATATTTTTGCATCGAATTCATTTTATTATTATTATTATTTTTTTTTTTAAAAAGACAAAATTTCACTTATTTAAATTCAGAAAACATGAAAAATATTCTTTTGAAATTATTTCTTTAAATGAAAACAATAAGATGCTGGACAAGATTTTATATATATATATATATGTTATGAATACACTTTATGCCAATATATTTCCGCGAAAATGCTTTCTCCAGCGATCATGTCAACCGAGACTATTCAGCGGTCTATACCCCGTATAAAATCGACAGTTGTATTACGCTTTCATGTGCATATTATGTACTCGATAATACATATAAATATGGTATTGCTCACTTTGATATATCAAATGTGAACTTATAAATCGTATACTAGCGAGAAAATTCAGTTTTACGTCATGTTTCATGCGAATTAACGATGATCATATAATTTTTTTCCAATAAAATGTTTGGAAATAATGATTTCGTTACGATGTTCGCTATAACTCAATTGTCCCACGAACATTCAATTGTCAGGGAAATAAATAAAACATTATTATAAAATCGTAAGAAGTCATTAGAGGAATTTTACTGTTAAAAATACTGCCAATTTGTTTAGATTAGATGATGTTAACGGATACTTGTGTAATCGCGAATTACTTTCCCTATGTCTTATATATATATATATTTTATTTTAATGTCATCGCTTGACTAGTTTATTGAAATTATATATTGTTAATTCAAGGAAGTTTTTCTTTTCACTGTCTTAATGAAATTCAAGAAAAATTAATAATAATTCATTTATTGAAAATGTGTCAAGGAGAATTTCCCATTTTTAATTAAAACTGTTTTTTCTAAACATTTCCTCAAAGCCCTGAATTAAATTTTTTTTTTTAAATTTTTTGTTTTATTTTAAACATTGTTAATTTGTTAAACATTAATAATTATTTTTTTAAATATATTATAATTATATCAATAATGAAATTATAATTAAATTTAAAAAAAAAAAATAAGTACTGTATAATTAGAAAAATTATTTGAAGAAAAGAAATAATAAGAAAAATTGGGTTTAAAGATATTTTTATCACGTTCAAATACGCTTTTCATATATATATAAGGTCAGTGACGGGCATTAAAATGCGTCAGGCAGGAAACAATAATTGCATTCTTCTTATCAAGACTGTTTATGCTTCTGTTTCTTTGTTATTAATGTATAATATCTCGTTAAAGAAGATATAAAAACCACATTGGCTATTGTTGCAAATAATAGTTGACTAATATTTTCACAAATGACAAATTTTAATAAACTTTATAGCTTGTCTATATGTAAAAATATAGGAAAAAAAAGATTTTTCTTTTAAATGACAAAAATTGATATAACTTATATTGCAACCTTATTTCAATGTTAATAATTTTTTTCCAAATCTAATCAACAATAGAATAATTTTTTATCCATAAATAATATTTTTAAATATAATAATATTAAAATAGTATTTTTATATTTTTCATTGCATTAGTAATTTTTAAGTAATTTTTAGACAAAAAAATGATTTCATTTATTTAAACTTTCAGAACTTCAGGCACATTCAGAGTTAAATATTTATTTGTTTCAAATAACAATTTTCTTTGTCAAAAAAGAAATAAAATAAAATAAAAAACAATTTTATTAATTACAGGACATCGATCTTGGCTATATCGTCTGCTATGTTCGGGAGGAATTGATCCTGACGATCCTCGTAATGTAATTGATAATCCTGAACACGGATGTATGAGTTGGTTTAGAGATTATTTGGGCGCAGCTTTAAACATGAAATCAGTGAAGGCTCTAGTTATCATTGTTTTTGCCGCATATTTGGCTGGAGCATGTTATGGATTAACGAAAATTAAAGAAGGTCTCGAGAGACGTAAATTATCAAAGGAGGATTCCTATTCAGTCACTTTTTATGATCTACAAGATTTATACTTCCGAGAGTTTCCCTACAGAGTTCAGGTAAACTTTTTCTATAATTATTCCACTGTTTTTAATGTCCATTTCAACTAACTGAAAAAAGAATAATGAAAAAGTAAAAAAAAAAAAAATTAACCAAATTTTATGTAATAATTCCATTTCATTTAATACCTGCAGTAAAATTTTATAATGAATTTTAAACTAAATCACTAAATTTGAATGGTATATTAGAAAAAAAAATTTATTTGATTCAACTATTCGGTTACTTGACTATTATCAAATAAATATTTTATATTTGTACTCTCTAAATCTGAATCAGTAGAAATTTTACTAATTCAATAAGTACTTTTCATTTTAACTGAAGTTTCAGTTATTATTTGAAATTTACTAATATAATTAGTGAATATGCAAGCAATAGAAAATAACTTATTTAAATCAGTAATTTGTATATAACATAACCTTTAAAATTAACTATTAAATCAGTAGATTTTGTTGCCGCCGCCATATATTTATATTACTGATTCAATCAGTAATTGATATTTTACTAATTGAATCAGTAAATTTCTATTAATTGTCAGTTGCTCAATTCTCGCTATGGCAATTAGTATAGATTTCTACTGCTAATCAGTAAAATATGACTGATTCAGATTTAGAGAGAAATAATTATTATTGAGATGCATAAATAAGCTCTAAAATTAATTTGTATAGAATTTTCATGTGACCCTTATTACTTGAGTCAATTGAATGGTATTTGTTTCAAATAGAGAAATTATTGTTTCAAATTTATTTATAACATTAACACCCGCGATCCAATTGGACCATAAATGCTGGGCAATTTCAGTACATAGCTTAAATTATATTACAAAAATTATAGAAATAACTAAAAGAAAAATAACAAGGATTAATTCAACGAGTTTAAATATAAGTTAAAGGCTCTAATAAAATCTGTACATTGTAAGAAAAACACATCAACATTCGGTTTCAAATTTTCAACTAAGTAATTAATATGAAAACATGTATAGAAAATAGGAGAAACTTATCATTCCGTGAGAAAATTCTAGGCACACTAATATTTAATTTAAATAGGATCTCTGGTGCATATATCTGTGATGTTAATATTTTGCATATAAATATATACGCGGAAAAAATTATACGCTGTTCAACAGTTCGGAAGTCAAAGCGCAAAAATAAGTCAGTGTAATTTGAACCTTGGGGAGGATAACGCTTTTCAATTTTAAAAATGAGGTCCATATTTGAGGAATTTCTTCTGAATATCTTCCAAGTAATTACTATATTTGTCAAATTGAGAATTATCAATAAAAGGCGCATAATAAATTTTAGACCGAATGAATGAATTAAAAAGAAGATAATTAAAGTTTCTTTAATTGAAATAAAAATTATTTTGATTCAAGTAAATATTTATTTTATAAATAGTCAAATAACTGCGATTATTTAAATGAAATAAATTTTTTTTTTAAGTATCTTTTGCTCCTATATATCTGAAAAATTTGATTTCATTTGAATTAAAACTTGTCTCCATCTTGTGAGATATAGAATTCTTTAAAAGCACACTTTCCCAATGGTCAAAAGAATATTGTACAACAGAGCAAAAAATACTTAATAGTTATGTTGGAAGAACGTAATCCTGTGTATGTAATTATGTCACGTGCCCTCTCTGTCTCCCTCTTAATTCTATCTTTCTTTTCCACCTGATCGTACAAACAACTTTCTCCAACGTTGAGATTTTAAGAAAAGCAAACGTATCAGTTGCGTCAGGTGGAAGAGGATGGAATTCCCGAAGTGGATAAAATATTTATTCGGTATATATACGTATTGCGAAAAAAAATGTGTGTACAAGCCATAAAAGAATATTGAGTTCACCAATCAGGAACTAGTTTCTGGAAACTTAGAAAATTATTATGAAATGAAGAGTGAATTTAAGTATTATTAATTCTTCATTACTCAATGAGTACTTCCGTAAATGTAATCATTTGAAAAATGATAATTCTATCCATTAACATATTAAATTGAAACTTGATTATATTTGAAAGTTTATAGTTTTAAATAAATGCGTCCTTCGATATAAATATGGTTAAATTTATTTCAATGGATATTGAGTTATAATTTTCTCGATTCTTCTATTATATTTATAATATGAGACAATCACACCGGAAGTGACGCAAATAATTTCAAATATGAAAAGGTAATATACCTCTCTATATATAGTTCCCTCTCACCTTCACAATATTTTCTCTCTTAACTTGTCATGACTCGTGCAATCGACGAGAAAGTGCCAAGGAAATTCCAAGAAACCCATCGAAAACAATGCACAAACCTTATTTTTAGATCGCGTCATTAATGTAAATATTTTTTTTTTCATTTTGTAAATTGATTCAAGTTGACGGATCTCGTATGTCTTCATTTAACTTCATTATAGCGCTTCATATATTATTCTTTCAATAGGATCTTTATAATAAATTTTTCATTTGTCTTGACTGGACTCTCACTTTATTCGAATGAATTAAAATCACCAGTGAAATTTAAATGGTCTCATCTTTACAATTTCTTTTATATTGTGTTTTAAAAAAAAAATTTAGTTATTTAAAAAAAACCCCTAAATATCAAATTTTACTATTTAAATTTTTAGGAAAACTTGAGTCTTAGAAGGTTAAAAAAATTTCTAAACTATAAGTGAAATATTTCAATTTTTTTTTTTGTTCTAAGTAAAATAAAATGTGAGGATGAAAAAATTATTTGTATTCAATAATAATAGAAATTTCTTCGATTTTTTATACTGCCCTGCCCACTTACGTATTTTTTTCCGTTATAGGTCAGTACTCTCTAAATTTAAATTAGTGAGAATTCGTTCACTAATTTAAATTACTGAAAAAATTTCTACTAATTTTTTTTGTCATTTTTCACTAAAACTTTAGTAAAAAAAAATCAAAAAAAAATTTACTTAATCAAATAGTAATATTTTGCTAAAAATTAGTGAAAATTTCGACTAATTTGAAATAGTGAACAAATTATCACAATTCAAATTTAAAGAGTATTTTCTTTCATTTTTCATAAATTCTCGTGTTGTTTTTTATTTCTCTAATTTTTTTTTTTTTAAAATCTTAATTTAAAAAGAAAAAAACTTTTCCCTCAAATTCATCTTTTAATTTAGAAAAATTCTTAAGGGGAGGAATCGGTGAAATTTCAACTCATCAAAATTAATTTTGTTAAGGGGTGTCAATTTTTTTTCAGGCATTATTTGGGATCTAAAATTATTGTGAATTATCAAAATTAAGAAAAATTTAAAAAAATTTTTTTTTTTTTTTGCACCGGAATAATATCAAAAAAAAGCTCAATTATGGATTTACTCTGTTCAAGAATTTTGGTGGATCGCTCCACATTTTTTTCCTCGAATAACGATACGAAAACAAAACAAAGTGACAGCTTCGGCAGCCATGTTTTTTTTACTATTATACATGTATAGGTATAGTGGATACTGTCAGCAGTGGCGCTGTACACTAACATGTTAAATCTTTAACCGGTCGGTAACATAGAAAACTATAAAAAATTTCATTTCCAAATTTGACAAAAATAAGTTTGGCATCGAGATTAGATCGAAAGTAATCAAAATACCGATCTGCAATTTTATTTAAGTAAAGAGAAACGGGAAAATTTGGTCCACCGAAAATAGGAGACATTTCTATTATGAAAAATTACTCAATCTGTTTATAAAAAATAGGTTTTTTTTTGGTTTTAACTGAAGGTATGAATCAAATAGTAAAAAATGTCAGGAAAAATTAATTTACCCAAATCAATAATTTCGTTCAAATAATAAAATAATTAAATATATAATATTTCCATCATCTTATTTTTTTTATAAAAGAAGCTGAAGGAACAAATAAATCAACTCGATTCTGCATTACTAATTTCACTATATTCTCTCAGTTACTTCCTAATTATAATTTGAAACTATATGAGATTTTCTCTCGATAATGAAATATTTATTAAATGCATAAATTTTTCCAGCTCATTAACATAAATCTTTTTGTACAATTACAGATGATTGTCAGTGGTGAATATGACTACAGCGACCCAGAAATTCAATCACAAATAGAAAATCTCACAAAAACTTTGGAAGAAACAAAATGGATAAGTAACTCTCTCTATTCGGAAAGTTGGCTACGTAGTTTTCTGAGCTATATCACTGAAAATCAAGAATTTCTAAATGTAACGATAGACACAGAGGAGAATTTCATTAAAACTTTAAAGGAATATTGGCTTTACCCATCGAGTCCTTTCTCTCTCGATGTTAAATTCGATGATACCGGTAAGCATATTATAGGCAGTAGATTCCTCATTCAAGCAGTGAATGTCAGTGGTACAAATCAAGAGAAAGAAATGGTGAGAGATTTGAGAAAAATTTGTCACGATTCACCATTAAATGCCAGTGTTTTTCATCCCTATTTTGTCTTCTTTGATCAATTTGAACTTGTCATACCAATTAGCATTCAATCAATGTTAATAGGAGCAGTAGCAATGATGATAATTGCCTATATTTTTATTCCTGATGTTGTCTGCTGTTTACTAGTGGCATTTTGCATTATCTCAATTGAAATAGGAGTGGCTGGCTATATGGCACTATGGGATGTTAATCTCGACAGTATATCAATGATTAATCTCATTATGTGCATTGGATTTAGCATTGATTTTACAGCACACATTTGTTACGCTTACATGAGCTCAAAATACAAGACAGCAGAGGAACGTGTCAAGGCTTGTCTCTACAGTCTTGGTCTTCCAGTTGTCCAGGGTGCAATCTCAACAATTCTCGGTCTTCTAGCACTCTTATTCGCAGGAACCTATATTTTCCTTGTCTTCTTTAAAATGGTATTTCTTGTCATTTTCCTCGGTGCACTTCATGGACTTCTACTACTTCCTGTGTTGTTGTCAATTTTTGGTACAGGTGCCACGCCAAAGAGTAAAGAGGAAGAAATTGAGGGTGGTAAAAAATCGAAAGAAGACATCAGTAAACTTACAAAACCTTATGTTATCCCTCATCCACAACTTTATTACTCAACTACAACCAATGGTAAAGGAAGTCCAGCGATTAGTATGACGAATTTTGAAGAGAGAGATCCAGGATTAGGAACTAGTGAGGATAGTAATTCAACTGAAAGTGGATCTTCTCAAAGTAGAAGAAGACAACAGCAGGAGAAAGATGAACAAAAAAAGACAAACGAATGGAGAAGATCAGTTGGCACACTACAGGGTTTGTCACAATTTCAGGCTAATATAGCACCACCTCCAGATTATCCTGGAGCACCAGGTAATCAAGAGGAATCAAATTCAATTAACGATTCTAAACAAAAAGCTTCTTCTAATAATAATGGTACAAGGGAATATATTCGCAGTCGATCTCAACATAATCTTCATCAACCACCAAGGTACTTCACTGATCCTCGATATCCATAGAAAATTATTGTTTTCAATTGATTTTCATTATCAAATTTTGATGAAAATAATTTTTTTCCCTAGACACATTTTGGGACTGTTTTTTTTTTTTTTTTTTTTTTTTTTTTAATTAAATATTGTGCTACAATAAATGATGACTGATAAAGTAATCTCACGATTTTCAGTGGTCCCGAGTGTATATAGAAGACGCTCAGTGATCTCTACTGTTATAAAAGGAACAGGCGGCGTTGTACCTGTAACCTGTTGACGAACTTATTTTCTGAATTAGAAATTAGGTGTATATTGAGTGCGAACCAGTGTGATGTGAATTCTATTTTAAAAGCAAATACTCATTTGAGTAGGGGCTAAGAGACTATTATTATAACAATCAAGCTATTTGTAAAATTTGTGCATCAACTTTTGATACACTTGAAATTTCATATTTAGAAATTTGTAAAGGACAATATACTTTTTTTAATATTGACGATAAAAAGTTACATAACAATGACTGGATTAAAGGTAATTGTCCATTCTGAACATGATAATACTTAATTGCTGTGATAATCAAGTTCAGATAATTATAAAAATTAAATTTTTCAGACAAATCGATATTTACTACTCACTTTAAGAACTTTCTCTATACAAGAAAAAAATCACTTCTCATTAAATTTTCCCCAAAAATTTTGAAGAAACATTTCTTTATTAATGTGGTAAAAATTTCAAAACACTTTGCATTTAGGATAAAATTGAAAATTTTTAACATAATCCCACTTAAAAAAAAAAAAAAAATTGTAATTTGAAACTAAACACCTCTAACTCGTAAAGAGTTTAAAAAATTTTATCACAATTAATGCGGATTAAAAAGAAACATTTTATCAAAATTTTTGAAAAAATTTTAAAGAATATCAATTTTTTCACGAATAATTGGAGAACGTTCAAATATTTTTAAAGAACATGCCAAATGAATCTTGAGGTTTTGATTTTTCACTAAATGAAGATTTTTATACAAATCTTGAGAGTTGTTCTCAAAATTGTTTTCTGTTTTACAATATTTTTGAAATTGAATAAATTTTGCTCTAATTTTGCAGTAAATTAAAGAAATAATTCTTTGTCACGATATATGTTATATGTTAATAAATTATTAATGCAAATATTTAAAAAAAAAATGTTTTTTAAAAGTTATTTGCAATGAAAAAGAATTTATTTATTTCAAATAATTGATTACTTGCTTACTATCAAATAAATATATATAGCGATTATTGGTTTGAATACAGTTTAATTAATTTTAATGAAATTTATTTGGGTTAAAAAAATATTTATTTGATTAATAATTAATTTAATCATTTGAATTCAAATTTTTTTAATAATTATATACAATTTTCATTAAATGAACTTTATTAAATTGAATATGTTTTATTAAACAAAATAAAATATTATAAACTTCATTAAATTTAGATTATCATAAAAAATTCATTCAAGTTTCAAATGCCTACAAAGCGAAATAATTAAATGTTAAAGCAAATTTTATTCATCAAAATATTAATAAAACTTTAAATAATTTCTAAAAGTAATTGAAATCAACACCCTAGAAAATTATTTTTAAATAATATATACATACTTTTTAGAAATAACGAATTATTTTTTAATAAAGTTTAAAAACATTTTTCCACTTTAAAATAAAAATTGTCCAAATATTTACACTTTTCAAGCAAATATATGCTCAATCTCTCTCTCTATATATATATAAATCAAAAGAGAAAATGTATTTTGCATAAATATAGTATGTAATAGGAATTGTTAATTCAAACAAAAAAAATAATAATAATTATAAGTCAGAGTGTAAATGACAAGGAAAAAAATAGTTTATTAACTACAATTGTAATTGCATGAAATTGTTAAGTCGATTCCGCAAATGGATAATATTTCCATTAAAAAAAGAACTGATGAATATATAATGTGTACAGATTATTAAGTATCTTTTTAAGTTCGAGAGGAATGTTTTTTTTTTTTTTTTTTTAAAGAACTGCAAGGCACTTTATTGATTAATTTTCTATTGTTGTAACAAGTATTTTGTTTGAAATAGAGAACATATAATTTGTTCTTCTCGTTATTTTTCATAATTTCTATCAAATTTACTTTATTTAAAAATGTATTTTTTCCATTTTGCTAACACGACAAAAAAAAAACTGCGAATCGATCAATTTTTTAACATTTATAATCGTCGAACAATATATATATATACGGAGAGGAATAGATGGTACAGGGTACTATCTAGATAGTACCAAGTACCATATTTGATCTTACATATATACGGACAGCTATCTAGATTCTATCAGTTACTATCTAGATTGTACGGAGTAACCATCTTAAGATCATAAGTTCTTATCATCTATTTCTCTCTGTGTATAGAATTTTTTTATTCGAATCAAATACATATAATATAATGTATTTGAATTAAATAAATATTTATTTAGCTCTGAGAAAAATAAATTTTTTATCATGAATATAGTTTGCTAGGGTACCTGAAATTAACTTTAATAAAATGAATTCATTTTGGCCATTCTAAAAATATAAAAATTTAATTATACGTCGTTAAGTGCGTTATTAGTTAAAGAGAGAATGTAGGTATTTTTTTTTTAAATATAGACAATATGGCGAAACTGACAATAATGGTGAAAAATTTTAAAAACGTTGGATAAGGTTGCAACATATGCCATGCATCAAATTAGTTATATCACCTCAGGTTTGTTAATACATAATACTTTCTATAAGAGTGTTACTAAATGATCAATATTTTCATGAGAAAAAAATTCAGGAAAATTTTAGATAATAGTAATTTGAAAATATTTTGCGACCGATTGTAAAAATAAATATAATTGCAAAAATCTGTTTTTTTTTGCCTGTAAAGATATATATATATATATATATATATTTTTTTTTCTACGTAAATATTATTAGGCAATTTTAAGAATAAGTATTTAGAATTAAGGCGTTTGTTTAATTTTTAAGCAATAAATGTTTAAAATAATTGTATATTTATGAATGAGATGTTAAAAAAAAACTTGGTTTGAGAATGTAAAAAAAGAATAATCATGTTTATATCAAACAGGTTTAAAGTGTATACGTGTACGAAATATAGTGTTCAATAATTTTATAGGACATTCATTTCATTATTTGAAAAATGTACCCTTCTATGCGCTTTTCTGTTCATTTCAAAGTATAATTTTCAAGGCTATAAAAATATATATATATATATATATATATATATATATATATATATTATTTATCTTATTAGGATAATAATTTTCATTTTTAAATTCTGTCAAACACTGAATTAAAAATATGGTATATATGTAAATTTATTCAAAATAAGTGAATTTAAAAATTTTTAATTATAATTAAAATTTTTCTTAATTGATATGTAGAATTTAATATTTAAATTATCAGGAAATTATAAATGAATAAAACAGAAAATACTTTAAATAATTTTTATGAGGTAAAATCTATATTGAAGGTCTAGTAGAACGTTTAAAAGCCAATTTATTTTATAATAAAGAAGTCATTTAATAATTATAAATTGATTTTTTGTTTATAATATTGAAATTAACAATTTTATTTTAGATATAAAATTAATGTGGGTCATTCCATTTTATTTCACCTATAGTCGTTGCGGCCTATTTTTAGACAAATTTGGTACTTTGTATTAATGACTTTTAATATCCGTAAAATTCATTTTTGACAATTATTTTATGAAATTTTTTTTAATTTACGTTGAAATTTAGTTTTTATGTTGAGTTGAACGGAAAATAAGTTAGTTTGACAGCTTTGGAAATTTTGTAAAAAGAACAAAAATAATTCAGTTAGTAAATTTTTTTTCATTGATATTTGTTGAAAATAGTCTAATTTATCAATGTTAATTGATAATTGTGTAAAAAAGGCCAAAATATTACGTGAAAATTAATATTCAAACTTACCTGTAAAATGTCAAAATTTGTCACATTTTATTTATATTTTCCCAGAAAGTTTATAAATATTATAAAATTTATTACTACCTAACAATAAGTACTTTCCATGTACTTGCACATGATATATGTTGGCATTTTATTTTTATAATATAGAAATATGAGAAATTTTACCTTGAATGTTGAAATTTTCAGGATTTTATCTGATTTTGAATACTTATATCTTCGCAAGCGATTAATGAAAAAATCTCATTTTGGTTTTAAAATTTAAGTTAAATCTTCTTTATTCATCTTATCAAAATTTGGTGATGGAGAACGAGCTACTTTTTATTATTATTCACTTTAAAAAATTCACCGTAAAATACGCATTTGAAGGTTAAAAAACAAGTATTTTTATAAATAAAATTCATACAAATAAATCTATATTGAGAAAACCAACTTCAGTTTTATAAAATTACTTGTTTTTTAACCTTCAAATGCGTATTTTACGGTGAATTTTTTAAAGTGAATAATAATAAAAAGTAGCTCGTTCTCCATCACCAAATTTTGATAAGATGAATAAAGAAGATTTAACTTAAATTTTAAAACCAAAATGAGATTTTTTCATTAATCGCTTGCGAAGATATAAGTATTCAAAATCAGATAAAATCCTGAAAATTTCAACATTCAAGGTAAAATTTCTCATATTTCTATATTATAAAAATAAAATGCCAACATATATCATGTGCAAGTACATGGAAAGTACTTATTGTTAGGTAGTAATAAATTTTATAATATTTATAAACTTTCTGGGAAAATATAAATAAAATGTGACAAATTTTGACATTTTACAGGTAAGTTTGAATATTAATTTTCACGTAGTATTTTGGCCTTTTTTAAACAATTATCAATTAACATTGGTAAATTAGACTATTTTTAACAAATATCAATGAAAAAAAATTTACTAACTGAATTATTTTTGTTCTTTTTACAAAATTTCCAAAGCTGTCAAACTAACCTATATTTTGCGTTCAACTCAACTTAAAAACTAAATTTCAACGTAAATTAAAAAAAATTCCATAAAATAATTGTCAAAAATGAATTGTACGGATATTAAAATATACGGATATTAATACAAAATACCAAATTTTTCTAAAAATGGGCCGCAACGACTATAGGTGAAATAAAATGGAATGACCCATGTATTTTTTTTTAATTTTAATTTAGTAAAAATTGACAATACATAAAAATTTAATTCTTAATTTTTTTATTAATTTAAAATGTAGTTGGGTCAATTGGGGTAAATGGGGACAAAATCGCTATTTTTCACAAATTACGTAAGTTTCTTCCTTTAAAAAGTAATATTTGCGGGTTTATATTTTTTTAAGTTGTTATTTACATTCCCAGGATTAATTTTATGCAGCAGAAAAAAATTTAGATAAGCTTCACTGTTATTTTGAAAGTATCAATTTGGTATCAAATTGATACTTTCAAGAAAATGTGTTTAAACGCATGAAACTGACTGTCCCCATTTACCCCAAAATTTAGAAAATTTCATAAAATTCGGGGTAAAAGGGGACAGCATAGTTTCTGAGAAAGTTTTTAAAAAAAAGTTTCCTTAAGTATATTACTGTATTAAGGGATGCAAAAACTTTTAAAAAAAATTGTAGTAGATGAACCAATTGAAATTTTTTTATTTTTTTTTTTCATTTCAGTATTTTGTCTCGCATTTGAAAAAAAAAAAGACTTAAAAATCATACCAAATTTTTTTCTTATTCCTTATGACTTCCATAACAAAAATTCACTTGAATTTTTGATTTTTGTTAATTTGGTTAATAATCACAAGCTGTCCCCATTTACCCTGAGTTTTCGAATTTTTGGGGTAAATGGGGACAGCTTGTCATTATTAACTAAATTGATAAAAATCAAAAATTCAAGTGAATTTCTGTTATAGGAGTCATAAGGAATAAGAAAAAAATTTGGTATGATTTTTAAGTCTGTTTTCTTTGAAATGCTCGACAAAATACTGAAACAGTTTGACTTTGATTTTCAAGTTTTTATGCATTGAGCGATAACTTTTTTTATCTTGCTGCCAATTGTCAAGATAAAAGCTTGGCAATACTCAAAACCTCTTGCAGGTGATCTGAGATTAAAATATCGACGCTGAACTTAATTTTGAAACTGTAAATTAAGCTCTAAAACCTTTTGTTCCCATCTACCCCCTGTCATCATTTACCTCAACTGACCCTAATTAATTTATTACAATTATTTAAAATAAAAAGATTCATCTTATTTCTAAAGAAAGAAATTTCCATTTTTTAAAAATATTTTAAGAGAGAAATATAACTGTGAATTCAATTAAAATATATTGAAGAAAATTTTTTTGAACTAATCTATTGAGTTTAATAAAAAAAAATGGAATTCTTTAAAAATTGTCTAATTTATATACGAATTTAACAAAAAATATTTCTATCTGCGTTTCCGTAGTGTAGTGGTTATCACGTGTGCTTCACACGCACAAGGTCCCCGGTTCGATCCCGGGCGGAAACATTTTTTTGTTCGCTAAATATAAAACTTTCCTTAACATTTTTATCGATTATTTATAAAAATAAAATTATTTATATTATGAAAAATTAAAACAAAATATTTCATTGAAATTCTATCTATTTTAATAATGTTTATTATATTGTTGTGTAACAATAAATTACGTTATATGTAACAAAGATTTAAAAACTAGATAATAAATTTGTCTTAAATTGTAGAATATGATTTCTAATAAATAATTTAGTAATATAATATTATGATAAAATTAAATGATGAAACGGAAGAAACATATTTTTAAAATTAATTTCCTTCATATAGATAAAAAGTCGAGGAACTTAGTGAATCTCGATATCAAAGAAAACTGCCGTTTGTCGGTTAAACAGATTGGCAAGAATATTTTAGTTATTTTCAACAGAGTGAGCTAGTCTACAGGTATAGAAAATTATTTCAAAAAATTATTTAATTATAAATAAATTTAAAAATTAAAATTTTTTTATTTTAATTTATTTATTTAATTTATTTTAATTTATTATTATTAAAAAATTTAAACCTGTGAAATTTTAACTTATAAAAATTAACTTTGTTTCGGTGCTTAAATTACACGTCACATCTAATTTTTTAGCAGCTGTAGCAAATTTTTCCAACAATAATTCGTAAACATCTGTGGCTAATTTCTTATTTAATATTTAATTTTTTATTCCTTTCTGTATATTGATTAAATATTAAAAAGAAAAATTATCCACTGATCCTTATGAATTTTTGTTAAAAAAAATTTGCTACAGCAACTAAAATGTTTGCTATAGAGATGCTGGTTAGCAAACAAGCAAAGTTTTCTGTTGCAGTAAAAAATTCGCTGTAACAGCAAACTTCCTCTATGTTTTTTTTTTGAAGTTTACAAAACATAGGTTTTTTGGGAGAATTATAATTGTATCTATACTATTTATGTGTAGTTTCATTTTTCAGAATTCAAGTCGTCAAATTGATTGATCTGCTTGAGAGAATCAATTGAACAATAATTGGGAAAAACAAATGAAAGAGAAATATAGAGGGTATTCAAAGGTTTGCGGTTTTCTGAAACGTGAGATATCTGGGGCTATCGAACCACAAATGATAGATTAAAACTCGATGTACCGAATCGAACGAGCAAGCGGATTTGTAGCTTGATACTTTGCTTCAAGGCTTTTGTATTTACATGAAATGAATTTATGTTTCCAAATTGAAACGTTTCATTAAATGATACTTTTTTCTTAATTATTATGAATATAAATTAAAAAAAAAAAAATAATTTTAATTCATGGACGTGACTTTACATAATTACAAAATCTCTAATTAAATTTTACATTTGATTTAACAATAAATTATGTACAAATTTAGTATATGAACAGTTAGCATTCTCTTAGGTCACATCTTGATATTTTAAAAAAGTACATAAAGTGATTATTAATGTTATAAAACTATTAATAACTTTTAATAGAGCTTAGAATATGTCAGATTTTATGATGGGAATTCATTATATCAGTGCTTCACCTTTCAGATGATTATAAACGAATGACGTTTAAATTATCCTTTAACGCAATATGTAAGTTGACAGGTATGCACTTTATTTAACTATAGCAATTGCGTTGCTATAATTAAGTAAGGGATAATTAATAACTTTGGTGTTGACGTAGACGGATTGTATATCATCCCCCATTATCATGCAATCACCTTTCTTTGTGAAGCAAATATTTTCACCCATCAGACAAGATTTAGCGGAAAATATTTATAGATTTAAGGATTAAAGTATTTTTAGATCTAAACTTAAGAAAAATTCATTTGATTCAAATAATCAATTACTTGTCTATTATCAATTAAATATTTATTTCTGTTAAATAATTATTATGACACTTAATATAAAAATACTCGTAGTACTTTTCACAAAAGTATATATAGTACTTTGTTTAAATATTAATTAAGTATACTTTTCAAAAATACTTTGTAGGTATTACTTTTACAAAAAGCAAATAGTACCTTACATAAAAATTATTATAGTACTTTATTAAAGAGTACTCATAGTACTTTTTACAAAATACTTGTAAAATTTCTATAAAAGTACTCGTAGCTTCTTTTTTTTACAAAGTACCAAATGTACTTTTTACAATGTGTCAAAAGTACTTTTTACAAAGAATCAAAAATATTGTTACAAAGCATCCAAAGCGCCTTTACGAAGTACCAAAAGTACTTTCACAAATTACCAAAAGTACTTTGATAAATTAACAAAAATATTTTTATAAAGTCCTTAAAGTATCTTTTTTAAAGCATTAAAGGTATTTTAACCCTCCGAGCCCGGACCTGTGTCATTTTGGACCCAGGCGAAATTTTAAATTGCTGTAATTCCTCGAGTATTATACAGAGTAATACAGAGTATTACACATTATTACAGAGATATTACAGATTTTTTTGCCTTATTACAGCACCGTAATAACGCATTATTACACGGTATTACACGTTATTACACAAGTATTACAGGAAGAGTGTACACTTGACTACCTGAGTAAATTCCCCCTCGTAATTCCTAAAAATGGACTCTACTTTTTAATGATAAAAATTTTTTTTTTAAAAAAACAAAATTGTTACTTCAAGTAGAAGAATTAATGAAGATGTATGAATTTTTTCAATTTTTTTAAAGCATTTTTTCTACCTCTAATTACGACAAGAAGAAAGCGACCCAGGTACCTTTACAAAGTACTAAAAGTATTTTTATAAAGTACTAAAGGCATTTTTATAATGTACGAAAAGTTTTTTTTTTACAAAGTACTGAAAGTAGTTTTATAAAGTACTAAAAGTATTTTTATAAAGTACTAAAGGCATTTTTATAATGTACGAAAAGTTTTTTTTTTACAAAGTACTGAAAGTAGTTTTATAAAGTACTAAAAGTATTTTTATAAAGTACTAAAGGCATTTTTATAATGTACGAAAAGTTTTTTTTTTACAAAGTACTGAAAGTAGTTTTATAAAGTACTAAAAGTATTTTTTATAAAGTTCTAAAAATATTTTTTATAAAGTACTAAATGCATTTTTATAAAGAACTAAAGGTATTTTTATAAATTGCTAATTGTACTTTTACAAAGTACTAAAAGTATTTTTATAAAGTACTAAATGTATTTTTTATAAAGTACTAAAAGTACTTTAATAAAATACTAAAAATATTTTTATAAAGTACTAAAGGCATTTTTTTATAAAGTACTAAATGTATTTTTATTATAAGCTACATGTATTTTTTATAAATTGTTAAATGTACTTTTATAAAGTACTAAAAGTATTTTTTATAAAGTACTAAAAGTGATTTTTATAAATTGCTAAATGTACTTTAAACAAAGTACTAGAAATATATTTTGTACAGTAACAATAATGTGTTTATAAACTTCAAAAAGTACTTTTCATATAAATTTTCAAAAGTACTTTTTATTAAGTACCAAATGTACATTTTATCGAGTACTAAACGTATATTTTGTATTAAATATCAACAATATATTTTTTTAAAGTACTAATTAGTACTTTGACAAAGTACCAAAAGTACTTTTTATACCTAAAAAAAGGTAAAAATTTTGTTTTAATTCTATTAAGTGGGCCGTTCACTGCGGTACTGCAATGCAGAGACAACCCGTGGCAGAATCGGAGCAAGCCCCAGACATTCCGCCGATTTCCAAAAATCAGTTCGATATTCTGGCTCTTCAATGAAGAGCGTATCAGATATCAAGCTGATAAGAACAGATACTACACTTTGATCTTAGCCATAGGGCCGAGAAGCGATATTTTAAATAGTTTTCTCAGCGTTTATATAGAAAAAAATGCTCATCTCTACTGCGAGAAACACTAAAAATATTGCTCTGCGACCCTAACGGATTTTCACCGAACTAACTTCCGGTAGACGTGCACTCAGAGCGTCAGGCAGGTACACACATATATAATTGATCTCAGCGCTAGGTAGCATTTGTTTCTATTCGCTATACTTAATTCAAAAACTCTTCTTTTATTTATTATAAATAATTTTACATTTATTTTATGTAATTAAAATTACTATTGTTAATTTTTTTGATTTTTTATAAACATAAAGTAAAAATTCAATTCAACCTCTGATTGAATACATACACGACATTACTACTTTATCTCTAGATGATAGAATTAATTTCTTATAAAATTAATTACTTTAATGATATTTTACATTGAATTGAATTATTATTTAGATAAATATTTATTAATTACTTAATTTTTTATATAATTTATGAAATTTTAGATTTTCGTGAAGGAATCTATAATTGTGAGTTACCCGAGGGGAAGTACTTATCAACCGTTAGCACTGTAAGAGGGCACCACTAGTGTTCGCATCGTGCATTTTCACTTGTACTTGCGCGAAATTTAAATAAATTGTACAATATTTATAAAAAAAAAATTTGACAACAATGAATATTTTCAGAAAATATAAGTTAAGAAGATAAGCTAATTAAATTTTAATTCAATCAAATTTAGATAAAAATTACAGTTTATATATAATTTTCATTGTAATTTATCCTTAAAGTTTTTGTACTATTATCAATAAACAATTTAACGGACAATCAAAAACAGTCATATTTACAGAAATTATTAACAATTATAAGGAAAAATTTATTTCTTCATTGTAAATATTTTAAGTTTTACAATATATTATTTCCCACCAATACCCCTCTTATTTTTTTGAAAATTTAATTGTTTATAATATAAAGTTTAAACAAATTATTAACAATTCATTGTTTTAAACAAATTCATTACGAAAACCTGTCAATTTTAAATTGTATTAAATTAGATAACGAATAAAACATAAATTATTGAATAAATAAAAATGATGTGTAAATAACTATTTTAAATTAATTATTAATTATTTTATATGTTTAAAAAGTAAAAAGATATTAAAATGTTGCATCATGAATAAATCAAAAAGAAAAATTTTAATTATTCATATTAAGATTTATAATCATATTCTATTTTTATTCAATATTATTATTTATAATTATTTATAAATGAAAAATTATAAATATTAAAAAAAAACAATTTTTAAATGAAATATTTCATCTTATCTCGGCCATATGGCTGAGAAGGGATGGATTACAACATTTGATGCTAAATAAATATTTTAGAGAAAATTAAAATTATTCATATTAGCTTTCAGTTAATTTGTTATTTATATTTATATTTTATATTAATATTTATACTACAATTTATTTATAACTATAAATAATTAAAATTGTTGAAAAAATAAAAAAAAATTTGAAGCTAATATTTCATCTTATCTCGGCCATATGGCTGAGAAGGGATAGATGACAATATTGTATGTTTAATAAATGAATTTAGAGAAAATTTAAATTATTCATATTAGCTTTCAGTTAATTTGTTATTTATATTTATATTTTATATTAATATTTATACTATAATTTATTTATAACTATAAATAATTAAAATTGTTGAAAAAATAAAAAAAAATTTGAAGCTAATATTTCATCTTATCTCGGCCATATGGCTGAGAAGGGATGGATTACAACATTTGATGCTAAATAAATATTTTAGAGAAAATTTAAATTATTCATATTAGCTTTCAGTTAATGTGTTTTTTAATAACAGAAGACTAAATTTTATTTATAAATATAAATAATTAAAAATGTTGAAAAAAAAAAAAAAATTTGAAGCTAATATTTCATCTTATCTCGGCCATATGGCTGAGAAGGGATGGATTACAATATTGTATGTTTAATAAATAAATTTAGAGAAAATTTAAATTATTCATATTACCTTTCAGTTAATGTGTTTTTTAATAACAGAAGACTAAATTTTATTTATAACTATAAATAATTAAAATTGTTGAAAAAATAAAAAAAAATTTGAAGCTAATACTTCATCTTATCTCGGCCATATGGCTGAGAAGGGATGGATTACAACATTTGATGCTAAATAAATATTTTAGAGAAAATTTAAATTATTCATATTAGCTTTCAGTTAATTTGTTATTTATATTTATATTTTATATTAATATTTATACTATAATTTATTTATAACTATAAATAATTAAAATTGTTGAAAAAATAAAAAAAAATTTGAAGCTAATATTTCATCTTATCTCGGCCATATGGCTGAGAAGGGATAGATGACAATATTGTATGTTTAATAAATGAATTTAGAGAAAATTTAAATTATTCATATTAGCTTTCAGTTAATGTGTTTTTTAATAACAGAAGACTAAATTTTATTTATAAATATAAATAATTAAAAATGTTGAAAAAAAAAAAAATTTGAAGCTAATATTTCATCTTATCTCGGCCATATGGCTGAGAAGGGATGGATTACAATATTGTATGTTTAATAAATAAATTTAGAGAAAATTTAAATTATTCATATTACCTTTCAGTTATGGGTTTTTTAATAACAGAAGACTAAATTTTATTTATAACTATAAATAATTAAAATTGTTGAAAAAATAAAAAAAAATTTGAAGCTAATATTTCAACTTATCTCGGCCATATGGCTGAGAAGGGATAGATGACAATATTGTATGTTTAATAAATAAATTTAGAGAAAATTTAAATTATTCATATTACCTTTCAGTTAATGTGTTTTTTAATAACAGAAGACTAAATTTTATTTATAACTATAAATAATTAAAATTGTTGAAAAAATAAAAAAAAATTTGAACCTAATACTTCATCTTATCTCGGCCATATGGCTGAGAAGGGATGGATTACAACATTTTATGCTAAATAAATATTTTAAAGAAAATTTAAATTATTCATATTCGCTTTCAGTTAATGTGTTTTTTAATAACAGAAGACTAAATTTTATTTATAAATATAAATAATTAAAAATGTTGAAAAAATAAAAAAAATTTGGATCTACTATTTCATCTTATCTTGGCCATATGGTTGTGAAGGGATGGTTCTAAACTTCCAATGAAAATCAAAGAAAAGCTGTAAAATTATTCTTTTTATTTTTTAATATATTTTATTTATGACTAACAAATTAAAAAAGATTTTTTTGTTTAAATATTAATTAGCTCGTCTCGGTCGGCTGGTTATAAAAAGATAAACAGCAATTTGACTGTTAAAAAAAAATTATAGAAATCTTTTTTATCTATTTATATTAGGAAATTTTTACTTTTGTAAGCTTATTAACGTGCAAAGAAATAAGTATTGAGTATCAGTTATGTATTTTTATAATTTATTATTTATATAAAGTAAACATATTAATAAAAAAAAAAATTACTTCCACTTACATAAAAATAATAGAAAATCAGTTATTCGATTTTCTCAATATGACTGTATATTATATATAATTATTATGTAATTAAAGTAAAATTAATACTTTTCATTTTTCGAATTATTTATCATGTACTACTTGAAGATTATCCAGAATATGTAAAAGGTCATCATGTAGTAATTTGTTGTGTTTGTAACCGATGGTAACCTCATACAACCTTTATACCGACAGGTATAAATATATATGGTGTATAGAATATATAAATAGAAATTGTATTCACCAGTGTAAGTCAGTATAAGTCTATAAGTTATCTAAAATTTTCCTTTACAATGCACAATAATTACATATAGAAATATTATATTTAATTATCAATATGTAAAATTTATTACATTTTCCAATATATATACCCAGATAACCAAGCGTACTAATCGTTATTTACGAGTACGAAGTACCAGTATTATACTAGTTTTATACCAGTACAAAATAATTATATATGACGTACCAGTACGGTACTAGTACAATAAAAGTATGTCGTACTGTTAGAATTATAAAATGTGAGTACCCGATAAAAGTATAATACTAGTACAATACCAGTACATCGTACTTCTGAAATAAGAAGCACAACATACTCGTACGATACAAGTATAATACTGGTACGTCGTACTGCGACTCTTTGATGGTAATGCCAACCTAACCCCACTTTCTTAACAGTTGTCAAATATTGTCAAATATGAACGCGTCACTGAAAACGGTGCAATAAATGTTGGTGAAAAAAGTGGTTTATGATGCAGCAAAAGAGTTTTAACGTATGTAACTTGTGCTTCTGTACTTATCTTGAATATCCGAGATTAAATTTATATTAAATTATCGATCTTTATAAGATTTATATTCTTTTACTTTGACATGCCGCTTTGTGCCATGGTGTTATTTCATTGAAGAACATCAAAATCTTTTCTTTTATAATCTTTTTTATACATTTATATTGAGATAAATTCATAAATTCGGTCTTGATCATATTGATATATTTTTAAATTCAATTGTGTGTTATTTCGTTATAGTTTTTCTTATGCATATAACATATTTATAGGTTAGGATGTGATAATATGTTTTTCTTAACATCACAGCAATTTTAAACATAAAGTTTAAAATTCTTTTGAAATAATGTTTAAATGTAAATAAATAATTAATTAATATTTGATAAAGTTAAGTAATTAAAATAATGTAAAACACCGGATATTTTAAGATAAGTGAGAATACAAGTTACATATATTTTATATAATATATGCAAAGACATATATCATATAAATAAAAAAAATTATTGAATAAAAATAAATAACTAAAAATGAATTATTATTATTTCAGGTCTCCCACGGATTTTCTTTTAATAATAAATTAAAATAATTAAAATACTATTGTGGGATGAGAAAGGGGAGGGTATATAATATTTTATATTGTACATCATACTAGTATTGTACCAGTACAATAACAGTACGTTATACTAAGTCACAAAAGTTTTCAGTACGTCGTACTCGT